TTGTCGTGTTGTTTCTGGTAATGCATGTGGAAAGCTTCGGGGGGGGGGGGGGGGGGGGGGGGGGGGGCACTCATGTCTTGCATGCCTCAGCGGTTAGACCATTGACCACGCAGGGGGGGGAGGGGGTTCAACGGCAAAGATATGGGAGGCGTTTTGAATGAAAGATGGGAGGAAGGGCTGGGCCGGCAACCATAGCTATCGTACGATTGCTGGCGCCTCCGCGAATCGACTGTCCCAGTATCCTACACCTGTGCGTGCATCGTCGCCTGTGAGGTCTCGCGGCAACATGAAACTACCGTAAGAGCACAACAGCAAAGGGCAGGTCGACATTTGGGCGTTACGGGCGGTGTGCAGCTGCAGTCCCACAGGCAGCGGCAACAAGGGACAGCACCCGACAAAAATTGTGCGCCTTCAAGGCATCACCCGTGCTGCGGATTCGAGACCAGGCACGATCACAGCAGTTTCCACGCAAAGGAAACCGCAAGTCAGGTCGCCGAAGCTTGAGTTGTCTCGCTCCAGCACGATAGACACCATCGGATGTCAAACAAGCAGGGCAGGTGCGGTCAGACAGAACCGGAAGAAACGTGAAACACAGTAACTCGCAACACCACCAACACAAACATCAACAACAACACTATTTGCACCACCAGCAACATCAACATACCGCATTCCTTCAGGGTGGAGGTCATAAAATCGACGTAGGCGGGGAGCTCCGCGTCGTCGCCGCCGCCCCTCCTCCCGTGCCCCCACACGGCAACGGCGGTGGCCGCCGCCCATCCCTTCCTCGCGCCCCCCCCGGCGCCTTCCCCTTCGCCACCATGGCGCCGCCTAAACGGTCCCAGATCGTCAAGCGCGCCGCCCCACACGCCGTCCGCGATGGCACCACCGCCCCCGCCAGCAACGCCGCCGCCGCCGCCGCCACCGCCGCCGGCAGCCGGGGCTTCTCGATCGGCGCCGCCGCCAGCGTCGAGGAGCGGGCAAGGAGTGTCGCCGGTTTCGATGAGAAACGGTCGGCGGGGGCATCTTGAGCTTGCGGTCGCGCCGCCGCTGATGGCGGCAGCAGCACCGGTACCTTCCTCCGCCGCCGCCGGCGGCCCCGAACAAGTGACGGCGACCAAGGCGACCGTGGCGGCGGCCAGCGCCTCCTCGGCCTCCGGCGAAGCCACACCACCCCCATCGCCTCCGCCGCCGCTGCCCTCAAGCGCGGCACCTTCCACCCACCCGAGAATGTACTGCAGCAGGCGCCAGCGACGCCTGGTCTGGCGGCCGCCGCCATTGACGCCGCCAGTCTTTCCCGCGGCCGCTTCGTCGGCGCTGTTGTCTCCGTCCGATTCGGTTGCGCCGGCGCCGGCGCCGGCGGTGTCTGGAGCCACGGCACCACCAGGACCAGGGTGCATCTGGTTGTGCCGAAAAATCGCCAGACAGAGGGAGAGCGGTCAGCGTCTAAGTCAAGGCATTTTTCCCGCCCTACACAAGCCGAAATCATTCCACCCCACCAATTAGACTATGCTAAACAGTGGGGAGAGGTTTGATTTTGGCTTCGAAAAACACATGCCGGGACCGGCTAGTCAACGGGTTTGATTTCGGCCTTCTGTGGTCCCCTCAAAGGTGGAAAGGGGCACGCGGCAGGAATTACGGTCTCGTGTTTGAGGATCTTCCAACGTAAACTCTGGCACATGCGCGGCGGTGCGGTGCGGGGGGGGGCTCAGCATCCAGACCACGCACGTCGTAAAGCCCAGTGTCCCTGTGCTGCTCCCGCTCGACAAAGCACCGCCTTGGTGACTACTCCCGCACGATCTCTTCATGTCAAAAATTCCTGCTCAAGAAGACTGCTGTCCTACGGTACACCGCCATGGTTACCTAGCCTCACCTGCATCTGCGCGCATATGTTGTCCCGCCCTTCCAGCAGGTCACCCCGCCGAAGGAACGCCGTCACCAGACGAAACGCCTCCGCCGAGAAGGACGCGCCGGCGGGCGCCCGAAACAACGGCAGCGCCCAAATGCGGTCCTGCGTTTCGCGGCCACAAGAAACAAGCGGGGAAACGCTAGTAGAATTAAGCCCCCACAATACTTTTACATTCTGCGGGGCACCACGCTTCCGAAAAATATTGTGTCCTTGACCGGGGAGTGCCATAAATATTGCGGCCTAAACGGTGTTCACGGAAGACTCCAATGGGCCACCCAACGGCTCATTGATATCCGCATCCCTTATAGCACCACAGCACTACTTGTACTAGCGCCGACCGCTCATGGATTCTACAAAGGAAGAACAAAAAAACATCCGTCCACCGGGGTGACATGTGGGATCAATACGTCACACTTTGCGTCGCTCCCACGATGGCATCGATACGACACGATTTGCGTCACCCCCACCATCACGGCACGGCGCTTCGCGCTTGGTGATGCCATAGCCTGGTCCGGTGAGAACCCGGCGTGCTCCGTCCCGACTTCGTAGGGATGCGAGGTCAATGGTCGAACGACCACGGCATGCACGCCTATG